TGGGGAAGCATGGGGAAACCAATCGCCCAATGCCAAGGTTTTGCAGGTGATCTACGGAACTCCTGGGTAGGTGGAGTTGGTGGAGAAGTACTATGCAACGCACAGGGTTTCAAGCTATTCATGATCCAAACACGGATGGATTCCCCAAGGCCCCCCACAACTGCTGTAAGTAGGGTACCTTCCACACTCCAGCACAGCCCAAAGTGGGATTGAACTCTTGGCCTATTGTAGGCCTCTTTCCGTTGGACCTCCGGGCGCTTGACCCCTGACCGTTCTCTCATGTTCTAGCGACTTCCGAAGTCACTGGGTCTATGAGATGTCTACCAGGGCCCCCCAAGGGGTGTCCAATTATAGCTCCTTAGAGGTTAAGGGGTATCCATTAACCACCCCGAAACGGGGGCCTGGTAGAGTCATCGTTTTTCGGGCGAACAGTCCCATCAGTTCGTGGATGGACGATCCGCCACTGAGGTGTTTGGTTGGATTGAACGCATCCGCTGATGTCCGAAGGCTGTAAGGTCCAAACCCTATCTGTTTCTCGATGGAATGTGGCTCCAACACCCAATGTGAACACTCGAAGGGTCCAACTCCATCGATGCTTTGCATCCATCCATCGATGCTCTGCAGCTACGTACATCCACCATGCTAGCAGCTTCGTGGCGATTTCTGGGAGAGTCCACCGTCCGTTGGTCTCCCAAAACGCCCCGAGACGCGCGAAACACCCCGAATTGGCCCCCCCCGGTGCGTCGCACGGTCGACCGTCGCCCTTTGCCGCACGGGTGCGTGAAGGTGATCCAGCCGGTGCGGTTGGCTTCTGGGCAAGTCGCCGCCGTCCCGGAGACGAGACGGGAGAAGGGTGAAGGCCGGGGTCGGCCGGGGCGAAGTAGCTCTTGAATCCTAGGGCTTAAGTGTAAAGCTATAGAGCTATAGATAGCTATAGGTACAGGGGAAACACTAAGTCACTAAGTTAAGTCATGCCTAAGTCCTGCCTAGGTGGCCTTTCTGTATGGCTTGGACTGGTTTGGGTGGGTGGGATTCGTAGAAGGTCATGAGTCATGACTATATATACGTCGATCTGTAGTGGTGAACGTCTGCGTGGGATGCAGGGATGCCGAATGGTAGATCCTAGAAATCCACAGCCTCTTTTTGGATCTTTTTGGAACCATCCAAGTTAAGGAACGTTTGTTCTCGGTGGGTCATCTAAAGTTATCAAGACCATGTTTAACTGCTTAAGTAGAGTATACTTGATTAATTGAGTGTTGGGCTCTCAAGGCTGGAATGCTCAGAATGTGCAAGTGGCTCTAGGCCTCTGCACCAGCTCGTCAGGCTGGCACCGGGTGAGGCCATGTCTCCATGTATGTTTAGGCTTGGATGTTCAACACCCATGACCCATGGCACCCCTCGCTTCCCGGAAAAACAAAGGTTAACCTTCTCTCAAATGATCTTAAATGTGCATTAGCAGTAGGGAATCCCAATCCACAGAACATCCTAAGCGTGCTGAGTACCAGGGCAACCCAATTGCATCATTCCTAGTTCCTTTGTCCAATTGCCCTTTCATGCCATGGCACCAGACATGCCAAAGAGGGTCGTGCTGTCGGAGCTCATCGCCCGCACTTGCATCTGAGGAGGAGGAGGGCTGCTTCAACACAGTAGATCCAAGACCCCCTCCACAATCCCCAAATATCCCCTAAGGCCCCAGGGAATGGGATCTGTATTTTACAGGATCAGCTCTAATAGTACTAACTACCTAGCTAACCCTGCTAGTCCGGTAAGCGCTACCTTTTGCTCTACCTTGAGAGTCAACGCTACGGGGTCCATGGGGATGAGGTGAATTTCAACAGGATCGAAAAAGGCCCACTAGTAGTTCCAAAACAACTCATAAACAACCGAAACGGACCCCTGGTAGTGCACTACTAGTGGGAGTCTCTGGGGTCTTCAGCTGATCTTTGGTTCGTCTGCTCTTGATGGGGCAGCAAACCCGCTGCAGCCCAGAGCATCTCTGGCTGAGGCACAGTTGACGCCTGAACAATCCCCAAAAAAGCGCGCTCGCGGTGGCAAACCCCATCCAAACGTTGATTCCAAAACCAAAAAAACATCCTTAGTACATGGCATGCAGACCGATCGGGTTGTCGTTTGAATCATTGAAGGGCCGAGTACATTTCATGATGTAGTGCCAAAAAATCACAACCAACGCTGCAAAAAAAAACGAGTACATTTCACATTAATTCCACCAAAAACCAACGCTCCAAACACGCCAAAACTCTGTCCTTCTGCTTCGTTGATTTCTGGCGATCACGGGTCCCGTCCACAGTCGTCTCACTCGTGGGCACCCCAGACACCGCCCCCAGCGCACCCCTCGGAGCGGCATGTCCACGCGTGGGTCGATCAACTTCACCTTGCACACAAGCACTGGAACTGGAAAAATAGACATCCCAAACATACCCCTTCCAATTAAGTCCGTGGGTTGGGCAAGTCCATTTTATAGCACCATTCATGTTCTTTTTCAAGCACTGGCCCCCCCTTTCACCACCCCAACTGATCGGCATATATGCAGTCCCATGGAGCGTCTAGGTATTGGAAGCCAAAGGAGAAATAGAGGAACAAAAGGAGGACATCAGTTGAAAGTTCATGTTCCCATAGTGGAAATAACATGAAATAACAATCCTACCATAGAATCAAAGGGAACAACAAATTGCATTTATGTTAGGGGACAATCCTACCATAGAATCAAAGGGAACCACATATTGCATGGTAAATATGATTTTTAGGTAACATATGGCAATGGGAAAATACATTGAAACAACTAAAAGCAAAACCAGGTCACGGACAAACTCCAGACCTGTTGTCCAGCCTCTCGCATCCTCAGGGCTTAGCGTGGTGCATGGCAGGCTACGCTAGACGCGAGGGATGCTGGGCGTTGAGGGTGGAGGGCCATGAAGCCCTAGGGCTCCAAGTACCTTCTGAGAAGGTGGGACTGGGGTGGGTTTGGAGGGTGCGGAAGTACTTGGAGCCCTAGGGAAGATGACCACCCGGGAAGGTCACTATCGCGGTCACTCCTTTGGTCAGTTTGAGGTGCTTTGCATGCCTCCCATCAGAAGCAATCAGAAACTTTTGGTGAGCATGGAGGATATGACATTTGGAAGTGCATGTGACATGGCCCCCTGTTGACCAAGACTCCACTATACCAACGCAGGGGCAATTCCACTTCCACGCCGCTAGGGTCCCCGCGGAATCGTGGTCCCGCGGTCGCCTTTCTATGACCAGTCCAATCCCCTTCGTTCAACACCGAAACGGTTCCAACAGCCGTTCATCCGGATGTCCTGACCCCCCTGACCCACTTCGCTTGGAAGGTTCAACCGCCCAGGAGTTCATCAGGAATCTGGGCATGGTCCCGTAAGAACGACGTTTCCTTTACGAAAAAGCAGGGGTGTGTTCTGACTTCCATTATTCCAGGGGGTGTTCCGCTTCATGTTGCAACTAAGATGGGAAGTGGAGTTCAGCACCTGTTTTGAAGAGAAAGCATCGTCTTCCAGGGGCCTTTGTTCCACTTCTAGTGAGTCCGAGTGTAGGTCCTTGAGACTCAATTCTTGCTCAGCGACCTGATCGATACGAAACCAGTGTCTGTGTTCGTCCATGATGGAAGCTGTCACCCTGTAGGCTTCCAACCACCATTGATTTACATTAACTTATACTCTAACGAAACCACCAATAGATTTGACTACCGGAATATCTCCCACTGTTCACTGGTCAACCATTTTAATTTTGTAGATGGTGGAGGGCATCAAGGCTTCAGCTTGGACATGAAGGGGCCTCTCCTTGCGGCTCGGGTGACCTGGGAGTGGAAGCCCCATTTCCCAAGGCATGGATGTGTTCGTTGCGTCAAACACCAGCAGGTCAAGTTGGGATGCACTGGAAACCACCAGGTTTGGACCAAGACACGAATTCTGCTTGAATCGAAACTTGGATGCGCTAAAAACCATCACTCACACCTGACACCTTTGGCACACCAAGGGACACCTTTGGCACTGTGATGGTCCTTAGCAACGACGACGACTTGGTGGATGTCTGAAGAAGTTGGACCGCATCGTCGGAGCCTCCATTCAAGTACATCATCCCTCGTTGAACATCCCAATGAAGAACGGGTATACAGGATACTACTTGCATTCTGTCTTGTTAAGATACTAAAAGATAGTAATGTACGGTAAGTATATTATTGTATATATATATATATAAGCAACGTATGTGTGTGTCTCCTTCTTGAAATCTAAAGTAAAATTGTCTAAGACACTTGGGGAGTCCAGGTGCAAAAGGGTAGCGTTGGTGGGAACATGCAAATTTCAAGCCCCCTGGTTTGACCTTTGATAGATTTTGATAGCGTAATATCCGGATGCCATTGAAAAGTGGAGCTCATGATATCCTATCCTTCCTCATGACCACAGGACTTCTTGTTCAGCGGTGCCCGGTCTACCGAGCGTCGAGGTCTCGACGACGTCGGCACCCAGCGTGCTCAGCTCCGCAGGGAGCCCACTGGTCCAGGCCAGGCACTTCGGAGACTGCGGGGGCTTCGCGGGGCGGGCGCACGGTTCGGGGGCAGGAGAGTGGCCCGGGGGTACAAAAATAGAACGAGACTGGGGGAAATCAGGAAAAACGGGGGTTGGTAGGGACCTGGACAAAGGAAGGATTCAGCTCCCTTCACCCTCGAATTTAGTGGCTTGGTGACTTCAGTGGTATGCCCTCACTACGCACATCGCCCCAGCTGCTTTTGGTTCAAGGCTAGCAGAAAAAAGAAAAAGAGAGCTTTCCCGTGCAAAAGGCAAAAGCCATCCCAATTCCACCGATCTCCTCAACAAAAGTTTTGGACTGATCCAAACAACCTTCTTAATACAAAGCACTACCCTCACTACCCAAGACTGGCATACACTGGCCCCATGTTTTACTAAGACCAGGGGATTTTTCTCCACTTGGCACGAAGTTTTCCACCGGAAAATGCCATTATATAAACCGTTTACCACTTGCTCCCTTAGTGGAGAAACCCATCAATCCCCACTTAAAAGAAACAGCCTTTGCGGACGATCCACCTTTTCTGAGTGGGGTGAGACTGTAGACCAAACATGCTCAGGTCCATTGGGGTGCCTTGAAGGGTCATAGCTGCACAATGCTGCACAGCTGCATCATGCAGGTCAACAGCTTCCGACACTCTCTACACTCCAACTCACATGGAACCGGGCGACTGGCATGGACCAGACTGGAAAACGATCTTCCTCTACAACCCGACGTGGTTTTCAGGTTCCATGTGGACCTCTTCCCGGGATTCCCAGCCTACATGGAGTAATTGTGCCCCAAATTCACGTGACCCGCAGCGGCACGCGGCGACCAGACCGAGCTCCAGAAGCGAAGCGTGGTAGTCCAGTGAGTAAGTAGAGCATCAGAAGCGTAGACTAGGATAAAGCAGCTCTAGTCATATGACTTGCAGCACTAGTGATCGTGCTCCACTTCGGATTCTCTTGGTCCAACTCGCCCACTCACATCCCTCGGCTCCCCGGAAGTTGAGCCGTTCTCGGTCTGAGACCATCCTTGGTTTCTGTATAGGACTTGTACAGCAGCCCCACATAGCCGCGGCAGCCCGAAAAAAGGGGCTCCTGGGGTTTGGCGGGTGCCAAGGTGGAGGGTTTGCATGGAGAAAGACAATGGGAGGACACCTCCAAGATGGGGCGAACTACATCATACTGGGCAATTGACAAAGGGCTCAGAGATGGACCCAGTGGGATCGAGCGAGAACTTGTTGGGGAAAAGTGATGAAAAAGTCATGACGTGCCCAACCGCCCAAAAAACAGAAATGGTCAAGACTCTATATAGAGCAAAGTATGATGTTTCTGACACATTTGGAGTTCCACTTCCATCACAATTCTTACGCCTCAAATCTGGGCTCTGGGAAAAGGAACAGCTACTGGAGCTATACTTTTCAGTCAGGACTTGGACAGTGGCGTGACCGTTTGAGGTCAGGAGGGCAACCAAAAGTTCTTGAGAGATCCACTCCGCGCCCCATTAGACATATAAAATCCGCTTGAATCCGGTGTCTTTCCTCCCCCCTAGGCCCTAGGGGATTCCTGGTCTACCATTGATTGAATGGGTTTACCAAACAACCCTTGTTTGATGCCAAAGGAGTTTAGACACATAAGCCAGGTCAACCAAATGATGGTCTCCGAAGCTCTGGACGTCCAATCATGACTCATGACTCACTATAGCCCCTTGTAGAAGTGGTGAATCATTACTTCCAGGGACTCCTGGATAAGAGATGATAAAACAGGCTCAGCAAGACTCCCTCGGTTTCCCTCAGTATTACACATGTTCATGTTTAATGAGGTGGGGCGCCCCCCAACCCCAATAATGCTTGTGCAGGCTAATTAGCAACCTTTCGTGGGAAGGCAAAGCCCCCCCCACGAGGTGCTAAGATGGGCAAGGAATTCCAAAAAGGCTCCTCACACCCTAGGGATTCACATACCTTCTCAGGAGGTACTTGGGCCATCCAAGCCTACATAAATAGTCTCCAATCACCTTCTGAGAAGGTACGACTGGATCCCTAGGGACATGGAAAGATCCCCACTTTCCGAGTCAGTCCTTCTCTCGTGGAGAGGCGTCCACCACGATACCATGGTCCTCCGAGTTCTTCTTACCTCAGCGGAACTCGCGGGTTTGAGAAGGGCAAGGTGACTGGGTGGGCTTCATTGGACACCAAACCATCCATTGTAATGTGTGGAAGAAATACTGCCTTGCATTTGGCTCGATATCATATAACACAGTATACTACAGTAGTGTAATGTATGAAATATATATATATATAATGTGAGTGTAATGTATGAAATAATGATGGCATCTCCCACAGATCGACCGTACCAGGCCTCACTGTACCGAGCTCCCCATGATACAGCTCGTCCCCCTGCATCATTCGCGTGGGACTGGCGTGAAGCTTCGTGAATCCCCTGAGTCTCGGGGAGGATGCTGGTGAGCAATTGCTACATTTATCGGCTTTTAGTTTATATTTATATATATATATTTATACTTATTATGTAGTTATGTGCACACCAGGAGAGACAAGAGGGTTGTGTTTAGTCCGTGGATAGTGGGCACCCGGCCCATAATCTCCAATAAAGCACCTTTTGGAACTGCTGGAGTATATCATAACTGATTACTTTCCATATATATATATCTAAGGGCAGTGAACTCTAGCTAGTCATATCATATCCAATCTAGAGTCTGGGGAAAACTGGAAGCCAAAGGCTCGGTGGTATGTGGGTCTCTAGCTGGTGGGTGCTTGCAACTCACGTGACAATTATGAGTCAGTGGGTTCAATCATCCCACGTAAAGATTGAACATTAAAAAAAAACTTAAACCACCTAGGATCTAGGACCTAGCTAGTTGTTTAGTTGTTTATGAGTTTCTGGAGTGAAAGCAGCCCTTCACTTAGCATTTGCCCGACCGTGGGTTGCGAGCGCCGAGCGTCAGCAGCGGAATTGCTTGCCGGCCACGTGCAGGACTCCGGGACCCGTGAAGTGCGGCGTCAGATCCACCTCGGGCCAACTTCTTGCGGCGGTGTTGCGTCGTTTTCGTCGAGAAAACCTCGGTCCAACGTCGGATGGAAACCATTCCCAATACCCTCTGAGGTACTTGGAGCCCTAGGGATTGTGATGTAGTGAAAGTCAAGAAGGTTCTGAAGTCGAAAAGGAAGCAACTGAAGTAGAGAGTGAGACTACTTCGAAACAGGAAAACCTATAAGATCACATAAATGAATTGAAATCAACACATTCATGCAGATTCGAAGAAATCAGGAAATATAAACTCTATGGGGAGCGCTCTTAGTATGGCCTGGCGGACAAGAAATCTGTTGAACTCTTTAAACCCTACATTGAGGTCATCAATGCGTTCAATGTACGCTACGCCAGTAACTACCTGGAGTCGACCCGTTCGTAACTCGGGAAGATGGGTACAGTCGTACTTGTTTTTTATGGGTTCATGTCCCATTTTCTAAGGTACTTGATGTCGGGTCCAGGTATATACATGATGTGTTTAGGACAGATCCTGAGATCTCCGAGTTCGCCGCTCCAAGTCGCCAGCTGGTCCAGGACTTGCGTCACCGAATCGCCGGACACGTCCATCTGCTCCACCTGATCCTTTCGGATGGCCAACGCCAGCTGCGCCAGGAGGGCAAGTCCCAAACGGGTCATGGTGAAGACCTTGGCGCCAGCGCACTGGAGGCCAGCAAACAGCAAACAGCAGGCTCTAGATTTCCATTGGCGGAGACAAACGAGGAGGTAGAATTCAAAAACTTGTGCATGCGCCAAAGCACGCTTTTAAGTTAAGCATGATCCAACGGTTTGATGCGTGTGGATGGGGAAATTGTTGAATTCATTCTACCAACAGGATCCAGCTTCACCGGCGGAGGGTTGAAAGAAAGGGTCGAGGGTGAAAAAGAAAGGGTGAAGGGAGAAAAAACACACGGTGAAGGGTGAAAGAAACATGCTACAGGGTGAAAATGATAGGGTGCAGGGTGGAAACAAATGGTTTTAGAAGGATGAGGAAAAAAAAAAGGTTCGAAAGGGGAATCTTGAGGATGAAAAAACAGGTTTCGAGGGTGGAAAAAGAGGGATGATGAAAAATACTTTGTTCAAGGGTGAACAAAAAAGGGAGCCCTTCCAAGAGCTGTCTATAAATAGCCTCTTAGCGTTTGAGCGGCTTGGAAGGTGGTGGAAATTCCGATTCTTCCAATTGGCTTCGCCAGCACCCCGATGAGCGCCCCTGCTCACTCCCGTCCCATCCAACTCCTTCATGCTCACTCCCGAGGAGTAGATCACCCTGCTCAAAATGAGGCTTGTATAGCCAAACTTTCCACCTGTCTTTGTTCAGTGAGGTGTCCCCAATCTCCAACATATTAAAACGTAACGGTTATTGCAGTTTATCCACGTTTTTGTGGGTAGATCGTGCTCACTTGCAAACCCAGCCGCGGGAGAAAGTCTTCAAACAACGACGGAGCAACGAGGGAGATTCGAGTCAGCTCTCAGCAACGGAGGCTGCGCGAGAGATCCGCCACTGGTCAAATGTCAACTCGATTCTTGGATTTGCTTCAAGTAACCTGGAAAAATGAACTTTTCCAGAAGAGGGTTGACCCATAGGGAAAATGGACAATCACCTTCAGGAAAACTAGGGATTGAAACACTTGGTTGGACCAAGTTGGAGTGCACATACCATATACAGCCTGAGCGTGAACCTGCCCCCTTTTTGTAAGTTTTACTCACTTTAATGTATGACGAACGAGTTGTATCACCGGAACTGGAACCGATAATAACCATGGCACCATGGATATTTGAAGGGAATTGACATTCTTTAGGGCCTAGCCTAGCTTGCGAAGTTCTAGGGCCCAGGGTGTCTCAAGTTTCAAACCTCAATGTTGCAGTGTTCCCCTTCATGGGACCTGTGTTCTCCCAGAAGCATCATGTGAGCAACATCCACAAGCAATACCAACGGAGTTCCGCTTTTGTGTCCATAGGTTATGGCGCTCGCTCATGTGAGATGATATTGCTGTGGATTTCCAAGCTGGTGACATCATGTGACATCCATCATCTACATTTGACATCCGAGCAGCCCAAGGCCTTGGGGAGAAAAAAGTCTCGTGGCCACACTCTCCAATAATTACTCGGACGCTTCTGGACTACTCGAGGAATTTGGCCCGAGCGCATTTGGCGCGAGGAAAACCGCCTGTTTCAGGCCACCAACTGGAGAGCCCGCTTCCTTTGCGCCCAACCGAACAGAGGTTAAGTGACCTTATAGGACCCTACACAGGTACCTATGGGATAGTCTATAGGGTCATTCAACCTCTGTTGGACAAGTCCCAAGCTGGCTTGGATTCGACCTGATTCTCCGCCTCGACCCTCCGACCCCCAAACGGTCGCGAGCCTCCGGTGCCAGTGGGCCACACGCAGCTGGTCGGAGGAATCGGAGGAACGAAGCTGTTTTCCAGGTGACCCAGGATGTTCCCATGAGAAAAGCTAACCTGTGCCATGACCTTCCGTTCGTCCGGTGGTTCTTGGACACCCCGAATCACCTCTAAGAGGCTATGAATAAACACCCCTTGGAGGGTCCTGGTACGGTTGTTGTTGTTGTTGTTGTTGTTGTTGTTGTTGTTGTTGTCTTTGGTGTGTGTGTGTGTTGAAGGAGGCGGGCTCTCTACTTTGAAATTATATAAGCCCAACATGGTAACATCCTACAGTGTGGGATGTCCGGTTTGATGTCAATCATCTACGCAGGTCGGGGGTCACATCTACGGCTGGCGGCGTGGCTTGACTTCTATAGTCGCACCCGTGGCCGCACCAAACCCCGGGGGGGTCACTCCCTCCTTGATCTTCCACCCGTCTCGACCGTGAGACGCGGTGCGCGGTACGCGGTACGCGCGCCTAAAAACTCCTTCAGGGCCTCACTGAGGGCCAAGCTGGTCGAGATCTCACCCGACCTGACCAAAGGACCCACACGAACTCGCCGGTTGGACTCAGTCGAGTCGACCAGGGGAGGAGTGCCCCACCTCCTTTTCGAAGGTGTTTGGCGTGGGTCTTGTGCCCTTATGGATCCATGCATCGTCTTTATGAAGGTGATTGCACACTTTTGGGATTTCCGGTGCCAAGTCGACTTCCAGTTTTGAAGGAAGAATTCCATTCCCTGGGGTGGATTTGCTCTGAAAATGAACGCCCAGGAAAGCCATCCAAGCTGCGGATAAAACCAACAGCAACAGACTCACTGGAGGATAGAGCGAAGAAAAGGACGCAGAACCAGACCCAAGAAAACAATAAACACAAACAAACGCACGTCAAGAGACATAGAAGTCGATCACAAAACATTAAAAAAGTCTAAACATGCGTTTGAGCCTCCAGTTTCCACTTGTTTTGGTGTTGTTTATATTTATAGGGAGCTGTGTTTTTTGTCTAAAGTCTCGTGCTTTGAGTCTCACTTTATTGATTGCTTTCCGATGACCTGCTGCCTTTTCAGTATTATATAGTATTAATATGTATTCCATGTGTTTTGCCTTTTCTTGGTGACTTCCCACTCACCATCCTTACTTGATGGGCTGTTGGTCAAGAACAAACCTGTTCATTTTAAGAGGGCCGCGAACACCCCGCCGCCAAAAAGGTGCCAAAAGCAAACGGCGAGTGAGTAGGAGCAAACCCTGGAGATCCGACAGACCCTAAAGAGTGGATCCTCTACAATCAATGAATTGGTGGAAACATCTAAGCCATGGTGAAAACAACCCCAAATGCACGGGATTCAACCATAATCATGCATGTTGGAGGCCATCGCTCGTATAGGTTGGAGGCCATCATCATGCATGGAGGCCATGCCTAGGTTGGATAAAAGAACAGCCACACATCTCTGCACAAACGCCTCAGGCCTCATGACCCTTTGCAGCTCTCCGAAGCATCTGTTCTTCCTCGCACGGAAGCCGCCGCGGAGCGAACGTGGGGAGCGAACGGCTCTCCAGTCGCTCAGGGCATTACTAGGAGCAAGGACGCGACGAACGGGGCTCCTGGCATCGTTACTAGGCTATACTAGGAGCATTCTTATTACTAGGAACTACTAGGAACCACTACTAGGAACTACTAGGAGCATTCTTACTACTAGGAACTACTAGGAACAAGCTACTAAGGGCATTACCACTACCATCCACCACCCCACTCCGACACTCTGACCGAGGACATGTGATTCCTGGCGAGCTGGGGGCCTGTGATTCCGGGTCGGAACCCGGGTTGGCAGGGTCTGCCAATGGTCTTTCAGACTGACATCTGAATGACATTTGTCTGGATTCGTCCGTAAATCGCTATGGATCGTAACCCTTCACACATCTTGGGGTACAGTTAATAAATGTTAATAAGATAGCCCGAACACTCCATGTATGGAATACAATTACTGTTACATTGACTTCTGAACCCCAATGTGGACATTGATGTTTCATAGATGGAGTACTTGGGAAAGTAGGAGGTCCGGAAGAACACACATGACAACGAGCTTGCAAGGCACCGAAACCGCAAAAGATCGAGGAACATGCTGAGACTGACCTAAACCTACCCAGTGGATCACATCAAACCAACGGGATACTAGTAAAGACGGGTTGTAGCAGTGGGACGTGCAGTGTCTTGGTAACACAGATGACCGTCTGTGACCCACTTTGCACACCATCCCAGCCGCTTTTCCCTTGTTTCAGGCCGCAGCTTCCAGGTGGAAACTTGGTTTTCTATACTGAACCAGCTTTCTCCCTCTCTATAGCTGTGTGCCAAATCAACAGATTGGCACTTGCTCCATTGCCAACCCTGTTTCCTCTCTTATCCTGGCAGTCTAGCTTGCCACACGCCAGGATCCCCGGCAAGGCTGCTTGCATCTGGGGCGACAGCTGCGCGAATGCATCTCCAAAGCCCTGACGGCACGTCGGAGCTTACACAATTCTAGCAAAACGGGTATATAATTGTGCAAAAAATTATATGAACTCTTGGGATCTCTTAGGCATACCTTTGCCTTAAGTCAGTTCCTACTCACGCACAGTGGTTTGAGAGTAGATGGCACAGGATCCCCAAAATGGTCTTTTGCAGTCCAACCTTTTGGATGGGTCCATGGGTCCATATCCCCCAAAAAGAGTCCACGCCACGTGGGATGTTTTGGATGCCCATCTATGGAAAAAAACCACCGATGCGATCCAGTGCAGCCGGCGGCCGCCAAATCGAACCCCCGGACTCACGTCGGAGTGTTGAGTCTGGAACGGTGCATGTATGGAAACGCTTATTCCCAGACACTCCATGTATGCCATACATGCCGCCCCATTGAACCCTCTGGCACCACCCCAATGTAGGCATATATGGCATACATGGAGTGTCTGGGATTGTTTGCTTCGATGTTTGTGTTTGCCAAACATGCAATGCAATCATTGCATGATCATACATGGATGGTTTAGGATCTGGTGTTCTGGGCGCCTACGTATGTTGTTGGAAAAAAAGCCATGAAACACCACCAAACGCAGGACTCCTGTCAGTTGCATTTGGTCAGGTCTCAACCGACCCCAGGTCAGGTCAGGGCTCATCTTTCAGCCTCACCGGGTCTTGACTCTGGACTCTGGACCCCTTGGGGTCGCAGACTAAGCCGTCCAGCCCCCGGAGTCGTCGCCTCGCCATCTTTCGAGTGAAGCTCGATCTCGACATGCGCCGCCTGGGGTGCAGAGGAGCTTCTGCGACGTAGTAGGGGGGGGTGGAGTTCGGGACAGGTCAGGTGAAGCTCATGTCACTGGAGGTTGGCTCGCATTTTTCAGCACTACTCAATGAGGTGCTTATGACCAGGTTTTACTGGGTCAGGCTGGACCTGTAGAGGTTGGTTGCGTTGCTTGCATTGGCTTCAGCTCCATCAATGGAGCGGGCTAGAAACGAGATTCAACTGACCAATGATTGCAGGTGCACTTGCAGGTGCATCTGGGTGGCTGGAGATCGATGGTGCAGGAGAGAGTGTCTATCAATCACAAAGGGGGGGGGTGTAGACACAAGCTTGTGAATGGCCTTCCGACCCCCTAGAAGGGTCGGAGGACGAACAAAAAAAGTCGTCTACCCAGCGAGGCTGGGGTCTCCTCGGGGTCCTATTCAAATGCACACCCAGACCCAGGCTCCAGTATGTTTGGTATGGGAGGTTCAGTTGGTGGGGAGTCTTCAGCGACTGCAAAGGCAGCATCAGCAGTAGGAGCAGGAGAAGCGGTGGTCGTGGATGGCACTGGCGATGGCACGAGTGGTAGCAATCGTGGCGGAAGTACTGGTAGATCCTACTTCCGCGTGCAAAACAAGTAGAGCGAGCTTACCCGGCTCAACAGAAGTGTTTCGGGGCCGGCACGTCAGTGGAAATGGTTGAAGTCCAAGTGAACTGCAGGAGGTGAATCAAGTTGCCTAGAGTTCTCCTCGAAGAGTCCAGTTCAAGAAGTCATGTTTTATGAAAGTTCCTGCCTCCAATGGATTCTCATCTTCGCGCAAGTGCATCTTGTCATACCTGGGCGCAAGCTGC